AATGTCAGCATTTATATACAACACTTCAGACGATCAAATATAAAGTGATAGTGGTACGTATATAGATAAAGAAAAGAAAAGATGTGTTTTAATACAGCAAACTGCATCAAAAAGTAGGTTTTAATTTAATTTATTTCACATAACATGAATACAAAAGACATACAAATACGAGTGGGTGTGGGTGTGGAAGAAAGCAGTAATGGCTTGTATGAAAACTATACCTAAATAAACCAACAAAAAATAGACCAATAAAATACAAAACAGTAAAGAATACAATAAAATAAAACATATACAATCTCCCATACAGATGATATATTAGCTTTAGCTAGTAGCACCCTACATTTATAGATAGGGGACATGGACAGTGATATGAGGTTGCACAGACAAAATATATTTCTAATCCCCTTCTGCAATTTGTGAAGCCAAACGATCAAGCAAAGTACAAAACCTAAAACTGCATTTCCCAGGTGTGTGCGGGCGTAATGTGACGTAAACATATCGCGACGGTTGCTTGTTTCCATGGAGCCGACGCGAAGCTAACAACTCGGATTAGTTAAAGCTGTCTAGTTAGCTTAAAGTTAGCTTCCACAGCTTCCAAGATGTCAAGAGGACAAAATAATGACAATGTCGAGACTCTGTTTTCCTTTGAGCTTTTGGTGGAAAACATCCGAGTCGATAAAGATGGTCAGGTTTCTGACGAGCTGGCTCTCGGGGTGAGGCTGCTGGATTTCCCGACGCTGCTCATTTATCAACCCCAGCATCAGAATGGCGACGATAAGCACCCTAGAGAGCACGTGGAAGATAAGAGGGGAGATCACACATTTAACAGAGGGAAGTCTTGTTTCTTTCTGATGAATCTGACCTCGCTGCACAGCCATCTGTCGAACACCCCTCTGTATGCCATGGTGCTGGATGTGAAAGAGGAGATTCCCAGACTAGTTGGCTCCTCCCTGATATCACTGGCTACAGTGATGGACAGAGTCATGCAGGATGTTGCCCAGCACGGAGTGTCTGCTCCCTCCTCACACGGAGAAAGGGGGATCTTTGGTGTGTGCAGCCTCACAGGGGAGAAGACTGGGTCGATTTCCTTGAGTTACAAATTGCTAAGTCTGGGGACTAGTTTGCTGCCACATGTTGCAGACAGGAGGGGGCTTAAAAGCAGGAGAGTACACGGAGGACAGTGTGTACAAGGAAGCGTCGAGGAGAAAAACATAATTACAGAATCGCAGCGTCTTGCCCATTCACCCACACTGGACAAGTCTGGCGGAAACATCCCAAACACAGCACCAGCGAGTGCAAAGAAATGTAAGGACAAACAGGATGATGGTGATGTGTGTGTTGCCGCTGAAGACAAACCAAGATCCCAAAGTCCTGTGGCACTCAAAGAAACTGGAAACTGTTATGAGGAGGATTTAAGCATTTTCTGCCCCCCACATCTATACTACAGTAATTCTGCACAAAGCAAAAATGAAGGATGGGAATACAAACATCTCACTCTAGACTCCAATGCTTTTACATTGGAGGATTCATGCTCTGAGACATCTGACAATAAGATTGAAGCTCTGAGTTCTCTGTTGCACCAGAGAGTGAGATCTAAGAGAAAAACATCAAGAAACCAAGAAACAAGTAGCTCAAGTAGCTTGAGTCCTAATGTCCATGGGGAAGCTTTGAGACAGTTGCCTCTGCTAAACGCTCTGCTGGTTGAGCTGTCACATTTAAATAACCAGAACCCACAACAACCCATGTCCATTCATCCCAATCTGGCATGGATTTACAGGCCTGCATCCACGGAGCTGTCAGCTGAGCACAGAGACACACCCCGAAAGACATTGGAGAAAAGCAGACCGGGGACAAGTCCCTGTTTTAAACATTTACATCCTCCTAGAAACTGCTCTACTCCAATAGTTAGACCTACGTCTGTACAAAAGAAAGACAATCAAGAGGAGAGGAAAAGCTCCAGTAAATCTACCAGGAAGAAGCTTGTGTACGGAACCACCAGAACATTTAATCTGAGGTTGAAGCAAGTGTCACCTCATAAAATAAAACACCGTGAATGCATGGAATTGATGCAGAATGAAAAACAGACGAGTATGACTAAAGGAAAGCCCAGAAAGTTGAAATCCAGTCAAAGGAAATCAATATTAAATCAGAGCTTCAGGTTTAATGAAAATATTGAGACGATGATACAAAGCATCACAGTGGATGCAACCATACATCAAGGAAAAGTTCCTGATGAAGAAGATAAAGACCCTCTGAGTGTTTCAGAGGAACCTTCTCTTTCTGAGAGGAGAGAGTTGAAGTGTATTCACATCCCCAGTATGGACAGTGACAGTGCTGCCCCAAGCAAAGACAAGAGCGAGCATCACAGTGAGTCGAATCGATCACAGTCTGAACGTGACAGAGAGAAAAAAATGAAATCCTCAAGAAGTAGCAGACACAGCAGCACTAAGTCTTCACTTTCAGACTCCAGCAGGGAAGGAAACGAGGAAGGAGACTACACAGATAAAGGAAATGAAGAAGCAGACTATGCTGATGACTTTAACAGTCTTGAACCCAGTGATGCCTACTCTCCTGACCCTGTGAGTAGCCCGGAGCCCTCTAGGGCCAAAACCCCTAAGTCTCCTCTCCGCCTCGACTTCTGCAACCCTGACTCTGGCCATGAATCTGTGCAGAGGAGAGCAGTCCTCCCCGTGCCCCTCAAAGCTCCCACCTCGCCACAGAGGTCTCTGAGGGCCACACACATCATTCGCCCTCGAAACCACGCCTCTGCCCTCAGCTTCTCCTCCGATGATGGAGACAGAGACGGGTCGGCTTCCCTGCAAACCGTATGCTCCAGAAAGCAGATGACGGAGAGCAGTCGAGCGGAAAGGAGCTCCGGTGCGGAGAGTTTCGTATCATCAAGAGGTGAAAGGAGAGAGTCGACCAAGAACAGCGGTCCACTCCGAGGACTCTCTGTAGAATCAACATCATCCTTTGAACCACAGGAGGCAGAGGAAGTGGAGGATGAGCTTGGATCTTTAGATTTTAGAAAAGAATATCAACATATCTCTGAGCTGGTGGCCAACAAACTCCCAGGTTACACAATGTAAAGAAACACATGTAGCTCTATATTATGGTACAGCCAAAGATACAGTATTTCTCTTAACAAAGTGAAACAGATGCTATTGCCCTGTACTCATCTTATAAACATGTAAATGTGTAAGTTTTCCTTCAGTTATTATCGATGATTAATTAAATAAACTATTTTTGTGGAAATAATGTGATCATTTTTCATATTAATGAAAGAGACTACTGGACATAACTTTCATTTATAAGATTTTGTTTTAAATAAAATCAAAAAATGAAACTCCTTCGAGCAGCTCCTGATCTCAGGGTACTGGCCAATTTAGTTTCCAACAGTATTATTTGAATGGCAAAGCACAGAGGTATTTCAGTGGCTTTTAACAGGTTTGTTGTGTTTTGCATGATACAGTCGTGATGAGAGTTTCTTTTTACAGTGTTGAGTTGCAGTGGGACAACTCAACCATGACAATGATTTACAGTGGGTGAAAACGTAATAATTATATTCCTTTGAACTCTGCTTCAAATATCGGGTGGCTATAATTACTTGTTACTTTTCAGATTAAGAGTTAAAAGCATATACTGATACAAAATACCATGGATTATTTCTCAAAATCTTAAAGGACACAAAAATAAATACATAACCTGTCACTCAGCTAAAACTTAAAAGTGCTGCTGAATGTATCGATAGTAATCCACAAACCTTTAATCGTTAATTGTTTAAAAAGAGGGATTTACTTTTCATGAAATATGCTTCATAATAAACAACGTTTCAACCACTTTATCCAGTTTTTATTGTACTTTTTTATTTCTTATACCGAAACGAAATTATTTGAACAGATTTTACTGAGGTTGAATTTGTTGGTTAAATCAAACGCTTTTCAAAATAAAAGTGCTGGTCTCTGCTGCGAACTGCGCATGCGTCAGACATCCATGTATACGGAAGTCTTGCAGCAGCAGCGACGGTCAGCACGGTGTAAACAGAAATGATCAAACACGTGTTCTTGACAGGAGCTCCAGGTAACTCACCACATCCACTGTGTTGGATCCACCGATGTTCGAGTCCCTGTTCGCTTGTTTTGTACTGATGATGTAGAAATGTACAGTCGAGTTAATCACACAGGTTGTTACATTTAAACTGTATTTTCACTGTTTTCAATCAATCGTACTCACATAGATGAATTCATGTCTGTACAACATGGGTGTTATAATGTTCAGGTGTTGATCTGACTGTAGTTTGTGTTGCTGCAGAACTGTATGTTATTACATTACTGTGGGTTTCAGAGGTGTCTCAGGTATTCACTATACCCTCACTGATAAAAATGACAGACTGAACAATATAAACCGTCATGATGGTAAAATCTATTTTACTGCTTGGCTGTAACACTAGACTGCAGCAGTCTGGTTCTGAACCTAATAAACTGTTCATAGAGCAATTATGAGAAAATGGGCCCTTGGGCACAGAGAGGTGGAAGACGCCACACTCTGCCTACACAGGATCTTGTGTCTCTTTGTAGCCTCCAGCCTGGTTGTTGGTTTGCATCCTTTTGTGGTTTAACTATTTTTGGCCCTTTTGTGTCTTATTGTGGTGATTAAGTGTCTTTTTGGTCACTCTTAGATGCTTTTTTTGGTTCCTTTGTGTATATTTGTGATAATTGCATGCCCCATTGTGATTTTGTGTCTGTTTTTGATCATTTTAACTGTCATTTAACAAAACTCTGGTTTTTAAATAAGAAATATGAACAGTTGCTTTATAACCTGGTGCTCCCAAGCCTCTGTGGCCCATGTGCCTGTGTCTTGCACACCCATGTAGTAATCAATACATAGATTTATGTATATGTTTGACTGAGAGAATTGATTCAGGACTAAGAAAGGGAACACTACTACTACTGCATAATTTAAACAGCTCCCACTGTTTACACTAAGTGTATGCTGGTTTTAAATGGTGATTTCACAGTTTTTTTTTTCCTGTGTCTTTGTTCTTGATTGAAGGTGTGGGGAAAACCACTCTGGTCCAGAAAGCCTGTGAAGCTCTGCTGTCATCAAGCGTAGGAATTGAGGGGTTTTACACAGAGGAGGTCAGGGAGAGAGGCCGCAGAGTCGGCTTTGATGTCGTCACCGTGACAGGAGAGAGGGGCCACCTGTCCAGAATCAGGTAGCCGGGTTGTCATCCTGTCTGAAGCTAACTATCTGCTCTCCTTCATCACTTTGTTTTGACTAACCCTCACTACATCTCGACTTACAGAGACGGTGCTGCTGCGTCTCATGGAAGACGGGAGTACACAGTTGGGCAGTATGTGGTCGACTTACCTTCATTTGAAAATCTGGCTCTCCCCCTATTCAGAAATGTAAGATAGCCACATGTACTTTTTTTTTTTTTTTTTTTTACTCATCCTCATCAATAGATCACAGTAAGCTAAACATTCCTGTGTCCCCCCCACTTAACGAATCATCAAACCTTTGATTTTCTCAGAATTGATGGAATAATTGGAAGCTTGCAAACACATAAATTCCAGAGTGACACTTTTAGAGTTTGTGGTGCCGTCTGGCTGTCGCTGACCGTGATTAATCTGGCATGTAAATGAGCCGTGAGTGACGCCTACACATGCACTGTAAAGGAAGGTGTCTGTGTCGTGGCGGCACATGTTCCACTTTCATCTCACTTAAGGCACTTCTCACCCATTGCATGTAAAATGCAACCACTGTCACAGTCATACTGTCAGTCAGTGAGATTCACTTAAATATGATGACATTAGATTCGACACACAGCCACCATGGAAACAAATCGTATCTTTTATTTATTCATGGATGTCCAAACTGACCTTCCTTTTATTTCCAGATTGTGATTAACACTAGGCATAAATCTCCGTCAGCGCTCCTTGCGGAATACTAACATTAACATCTCTCGTCTGCAGGTCGGGGCGGCAGATGGGGGCAGCAGGAAGGTGTTCATCATTGACGAAATTGGCAAAATGGAGCTTTTCAGCCAGTCGTTCATCAGAGCAGTGAGACAGACTTTAGATAGCTCTTCCTACACCATCCTGGGCACCATCCCCATCCCCAAGGGTAAACCGCTGGGTCTCGTGGAAGAGGTGCGGAGCAGGGGAGATGTCAAGGTCTTTGCTGTGAGTACAAATAACAGCGCCCTCACTGTAAAAAAAGATATTTAGGTCAGTTTAGGAGCTTATAAGTCGCACAATAGCTATTGCACACTGTTCACGCTGCACCCACTCTTAGGAGGTTGGTCAGCCTGTTCACCAACGCAGGAGGGGCATGGCCTGCATTATCCCTTTCCCCGATAGCAGGATTAACTCTAAATCATGCATGACTGATTCAACAACAAAGGGTGGTCTCAAATGTCCAAATGATTTATCACGGAAGACTCAGTTATGGATATTGTCATGCAAAGTTCCTCACTATGCAGGGGCAGTTATCATATTATACAAGGTAACGAGACAGTGTAAATATTTTTTATTTCATCAAACATGGTCAGTGATTTACTCACAAGATTAGATTACAGTTTAACATGTTGTCTTCTATTGATCCCTCAGGAAAAACAGTTTTTCTTATATCTTTGATGATTAGTTGTATGATTTTACATGATCTGCACACTGCTTACTCACCATCAGTCATGACTTCTGCTCATCTCTGTCCTCTCCCCACTCAGGTGTCTAAGGAGAACAGAGACACTATTCTGCAGGACATTTTAGCAGCACTACAAGAAAGTCTAAAACATGCAGCCTAATGTGAAGAATGAAAACCCTGCACTTTGTGTGTGCTTTTTTTTTTTTTTTTTTTTTAACTTGATGTTAAGGAAAATCACCAAAAAACATGAGGGTTCTCCTGTGGCCCATGACTAGGGCTGGGCAATTAGCTCTAACCTCAAGTTTTTTTTTTTTTTTGTGCTGACAACAACTTTTATTTGTGTCAGTGCGTATACAGCACACACAGCCAGACTATTCAGTGGATCTACTACACGCACCTCATAACAGGGTTGTGACCTAACCCGAGGAGCTGCTAAAAGAGTTAGTGTGTCACATGCATGCATTTATGTACACAATTCATTTTTTCTCCATCCTCATACAGCCTCAAAATGGATTGCATGCTGAATAATTGATTGTTAGCTGGAGCACAGCGCAGGGAATTGTTCGGTGTATAAGAGTGTAAACCCAGAGCAGAGTCAAAGACTGCTTAGTCCTCAAAACAACTGGGTTTTATTTTATTTTTTATTTTATTTCTAATTTATGGAGACTCCTGCAGGCCTTTCTTGGTTTTGAGTGTGTGATATTAATTTGTTCATTAGGACGAGCGGTGCTTGTTTTTTTCTGAGCAAACAAAGCAGCGCCGCAGTTCATTCATTATTTCTTCATGCGAGCTCCCCTCGTGTGTCTAGTCAACCTGAGGATGCGCTCTTTGAAAATCAATCAGTATTTAATGGTACAACTGTGTCCTGTACCTTTCATGGTTTATTCATCCACTAGCATGAACAAGAAAATTGATAAATAAACAGTTACTGTCTCCTAACAAGGACGTGGTTTAATTTCTTATAGTCAAATAAGGCTTGCATTTATCGAGCAGATGTAAATGTTTTCATACCGTTGATAATCTTCACAGTATTCAGCTGGAGAAATAAATATGTTTTGTCTTGAGGATTTTCAGCTCCGTCCCGGGAGATAATGGAAACTATCCACGCGCAGGTAGCTTACTGTAAAGGATAAACAGTAAAACAGAATACAGGAATTTAGAGCTGTCAGAGAGAATCTATGGAGGGTTTACACTGATGGTACAACACAAAAGAGCTCTTTGAAGGGTTTGTACAGTGATACAGCGAGACATGTTGTCAAACTCTGTGACTGTCAACAAATAGCTGTGAAATTAAAGCAATGTTCTTTTTTGTTTCAGACACAGTGTCTATTCTTAATATAGGTGACGTAGCTGGAGGTAGCTCTAGAAGATTCATGGCTCAGGGGTTTATTGATCACACACGCTCCGTAGACATGGAATTCCACTGACTCTGCGTGAGCTCCAGCGTCTGGCAGTCATACGGAGGTTTTTAATCGAGACCCTCTGGCAGAGGGAGATTTGTCTCAGCATCAAAGAATCTTCAGGTCATTTGAAAGAGAAAATATGTGGAAGGCTTCTCTGGCTTGGTTTTTCAGCAGCACCGCTTGTGTAACTGATGTAACCTGTCAGGCCGGCTGCAGACAGGGCTGCCAGCTGTGATCTGCGTCAGACGAGCTGCTGTGCCAGCATCTGCTCTGTGGCCACTGCTGACGTACCTCTGGATCAGCTGGCACCGACACGCACTGAACTGGCCTCAAAGTCAACATCGGTCGTAATTTTGAACCAAAGTGGAAAATGATGCTGCATCATTATTGTTGGGGCAGGATTTACAGGTGATTAGAGCTGGTGGGTTCATGGTTGGCAAGTCAAGCAGTACTGCTGAGGTAGCTGGCTCTCCTCAAGGTGATCCTCAGCTCCCTGCAGCAGGGCCGCAGATGGGTTATGTAACAGTGACAGAGTCCCTGCCTGTTTTGTGACTATATGGTGTGCAAGTGGATGCATTTGATGGGTTATGATGTAATTAGGAAACCACATTCATTAATATTGGGACATTATATCATTGTTTTACTCTTTAACTTTTCTTGTGTTATATATGTTGCATGTGTTTGTGCCACCTAAATTTGATTGTAACACTTGGTTTTACTTAAATTATTCCAAAGTTTATTTATGATATATTGTAAGGTGTCCTTGGCTTTCCAGAAAGGCACAGTGAAAAAAACCCTGAAATAATAATAATAATGTAAATAATATGAATTATAATTATCATTGATTATTTATAGCAGTGATTCACAGTGAGAAGTTTGCGGAGAAACTTATCTAATTTGGAAAAAACAGAAAAGACAAACATTTGGTTTGTTTTCTTTGAATAAATATCCCCCTATTGAGTCAGCTGTGTTGACAGCACAGAAACACAGTTGCAAGGAAGCAGAGAAGTTGGACCATTTATCACAAAGTGATGGCTACAGGGGTCAAAACAGAGAGCCTGTAAAGTAAGCTACATAGTGAAATGGCTAAAGGTCAGTGACACAGATAGAGAGAATAATGGATTCCACTAAACTTAAGAAAAGTAGAGGATAGCCAATGATGGATAGAAAAAAGCATAATGGCTAAATGGCTTCATATCAAAGGATAAAGAGTTAGAATATTCTTTAATAATTGAGTAATGAATAAATGGATGAAATAAATATACTCAAGCACATGAGAATAAAGAATAAAAAATGTTGTTGGTAAAGAAGAGGTATTTACTCTGTCTGTGTGTGTGTGTGTGTGTGTGTGTGTGTGTGTGTGTGTGTGTGTGTGTGTGTTAGTTACAGGATGATGATGGTATAGTGATGATGATTATAGTAGCATCTGGACATGAGGTTCTTTTTTTTTCCTTATCCTATATTGTAAACAACATGGCTTTGTCCACATATAACAGTTGTGTAACTGTAACAATAGGCTGCACTGTCAGGGGACTTGAATGTATTGATGTGTCCTCAGTGGTTGGAGTGTTGCATTAAAGACCATATAGAACAGCCTGAATGAATACACAGAGTGCATTAATATCCATATCACTGAGACGCATTCGCACCATATCTGCAGGACAGATGTCTGTGTGGCACCCTGCATCCTTTATCCCTCCACACACGGAGGACACAGAAATGCAAGGAGCTTACCAACGATCCAGGACAAAAGGGAGCTGGCTGGTGAGGGGGGAGTAGGGGGTTGGGGTGGGGGTGGTCTGGTGTTTAGATGAGGAAACATCTCTCGAGTTATTACATTTTGTGGTGGCAGCCCAGGAGGCCCAGTGACAGCTGTAGAGAAGGGGACATATTATGCTATATTTGTCCGAGAAGCCGTCGGCCAAAAGGCCAAACACGTTTGATGAAAATCTGTTATTGTTTACAGACCATGTGGGAGATGCTTGTAAGCCTGATCCAGCATTATTTCCCAAGACAACTGTATGATTTATTGTAATATGTGGTGTTAAGGCTTCTTAGCATCTGCAATGTCAGATTTCTCAGTTCCACAGCATGCACATTAGAAGTCATTTCTCAGCGTGCACTGGGTATGTGACTTCTAACAGTTTCTGCCACAATATTACAGAGAGCCAGGCGTTATGATTTCAGATACATTCCCAGAAACTGAGCTTTACATGAGCTCATTGTGCTCACGAGCATAACTAATGTGTGCTGGTCTCGACAGGTGGGCTGTTAATGTCAAACGGGATATGATGGTTTCGGAAATTAAGGCCATTTGATCTGGGTTCCTAACCACTATTCCGCCCCGCTGCCCACCACCGATGAGTCTTCCCATTACATCACTTTCATGGGCTCCCCGGGGCCACTGCAGGCAGTCAGTGTTGGGTTTCAAAGCCTGCGTCCGGGCCACTAGCACACTGCACGGCAGGCCTACCTTAAGAGCTCGGGATCAAAGCTGCGAGATGCAAGTGAAAGGCAATGATTTTGCATGATCCCAACAAATGTCTTCCTTTGTTTATCAGATGAGCAGAGTTTGTTATTTTCCAAAACCACTGGCGTGTGTCTGGTTTGATCTAACGGCTTAAAGAGCAGCAACTGACTTATTCCCTGCAGAAAGCTGTGATGTGTAAAGATGCATTCACCATTTTCCATCAACAGCAGGGGAGGGGTTAAGGCCTGAGGACATCCGTCTCCTCTTACACCACCTTGATGGTAACTTCTGATCTCCGGATCTCATCGAATGACTGCGGTAACCGACGTTAGTCACCGTTTACTCGGCCACAGGCTAAAGCCTGGACCTTGCCTCACCTATGGGAGGATATGTGTGTTATTAGTGGTTGGAGATGGGAAATGCAACAACCGAAGTGTGGAGATTTGTGTGGGAGTTGAGTTTTTGTGGTGCACGTATCCATTGCCTCACCCACACTTTAGTGACAAAAGCCTCCGGAGAGTGGTGACACACACACAGAGTGAGAATGAGTGCAAGAATGTCTCTGGAAAGCCCCCAGAGCTGTGGAGGAAGCAGTGGGAGCTGTCAGTGGATGATGATATGGAGGTCAAAGGGCACAGAGGGAATACAAAGATCGAGGGCATGGTGATCAATCGATTGACCAGCGCTGCATGCCTCTGGGCCGCAAAGGATGTGGCTGTCAGTCCAAACTTGATGGAGATGAAAACACACAAGAAATGTCTTTAGTGTGGAGGCGAAAAGCCGAATGTTTGCAGTCCATGCATGTCAACAAAATAGATGCCATATGTGCACGCAGCAACTATGAGAATCAGTCTTATACTGTATGTCACTGTGGATCAAGTTGTCCTGCATGGAGGACAGTAAGAGCAAATAGTCCACTGCAGTGGCACATAAACATGACACACACACAGATTGTATATATAAAGGGAATAAATGAAGGCTGTACATTTCACAGAGCTGTGAGAGGCTGAGTCATACAGATTTCAGCTCTATAGAGTCTTCATAATGATTCACAGATTGCTGAGCTGCCATGATTAATGCCTGCGCTGGATGCTTTTGACAAATTTGCACCACAAACACACAACTTCTCAAACTGTTTCCATCCCATACACTACTCTAGCTGCTCGGTGCATGTGCGTATGCATATAAACACGCCAAGACCACACTGTGACTTTTGGCAGCGCCGCATGAATGGAAAGGTGGTGTCATGGTTGTGCCAAAACGCAATGCTGCTTCTTTTACTTTTTTTTACATCAGATCCTGCTCTGCAAATGTGTGTGTGTGGCGCTCATGGTGGAAGGCATCAAATGTTTTTATCTTTCATTGGGACTGGACTGTTCAAATACTTCCAGCGCTCGCATACAAACTGACATTTCACTTCCCTCCAGGGCTTGAAATTCAAATTTCAAATGATCACCACCGCTTATGGCTCTTACTCTTTGAGAGACATTTCAAAATCTGTCATTGCTCTCACTTCAGCTGACACTTCAGCTGCTTCAGGTGCCGCAACTTCAGCTTCACCTTTATGCACTTATGTGCATGAAAACAATTCATATTTTAACCTTTTTGCAGAGTTTGCACCTACAATTTTCTGAGAAAACATATTTTCATTCCAAGTTGTTTGTGTACAAAATTTAGCAAAAATGTAAATTTGCCCAAAGATCTCTTTTTCTGCAACGTCCCTCTGTCTCGTAATCTGTCTCTTCGACATCCTGCAGGGAATAGCTGATCATTTTTGTAATGCTAAACAGTAGCATTTTCCAAACTCTTTATGCATATTAGTCATTATGCAGCCATAATGTCTGTGGTTCCTCATCATATATGCAATGTAGATTTGTTTGAATCATGTCTTTGTATGGTGACAGGTTTTTAATATGCAAAAATAAAGCTAATGATGTGAAGATGTTCTCGGCCTGGCCTGTCCTTTAATCTCTCTATTCATCTAATCCCCTTTTCTCTTCAAAGCCTGCGGCCATGACAACAAAACCATGAATGACACGAGCAAAAAGAAAAATGAAAAAGTCTCAGCCAATAATTGGTTTTAACATTTTATTATGAATAGTCTTTTCTACAATTAGTATTTAAAAGGTGTTAATGTCAAAGAAGCTCAAGCAGTATCAAACTGCTATTTGTATAAATTGGAAGAACATGTTTTGGTGTAACACACAAGTACACATGAGGGGGTGAGGGTCTGTCATGATCTGGTATATACAGTATATATATATAGATATATACATATATCTATATATATCTAAGCCCTGCTTTCTAAACTGATTCTCTGCTGAGTAAGGAGGTTTACCAATAACACCACAATCCACAAAAAAATCTAAATATTAAGACTGGTGGGGAAATGTCTGTTTCTGTTAACTAATCTATATCTACACGTGCCACAATCACTCAATACTGTTACTTTCAACTGCAGAAGAAAATTAAAGAAGAGCCATATAAATACTCGTAAAAAGAACCTATTAAAGGGACGTGTCAATCCATTAGTGATCTAACACATCAAAAATAAAAGCATGGTATAGCTCCAATCATAAATACAGTCAGTAGTAGCGTCTTCTTTGCATAATTCAGTATGTGCACTGCACATTAGATTGTATTTTTATAAGCAAAATCATCATTTAAAAGAAAATCTCAAAGGTCCCTTTTCCCAAAGAACTTCTTGAAGACGGATTTGTTGCGTGGCCGTGGCAGGCTGGCGTAGCTCCTCAGAGCAGAGTCCTGACATGCGTCCTGCTGCCACTCAGCCGCGGCCAGCACCGAAGGCTCAGAGCTCCTACACATGGACGTGCCGTCTGACGACTTATCTCCAACCACCAGGGTCACACAGTAGTTGGACCCCCTCTCCAGGCCTCCAGCTGGGTGCAGCAGGGGCCTGATCCTCTGGTAGGTTGCTGAGATGGAAAAACATGACAAACAGAACATTAGAAGACAAAAACAAACCAGGTGTTAGGATTCACAGGCACATTACAGATCATTTAGGTTAATAAGTGGAAACCTGAGGTGAAGGAGTGGGAGCGGCGCTTGTTGCTGAGCCAGTCCTGGCCGCTGAACACGGGGGAGTGAGGGGAGGAGGAGGTGATGCTGCTGGATGTTGTAGACTGTCTGTGAGTCATCGTCTGCTTCGCTCTGTCTTCATCATCATCTGGAGAGCGTCACAAATATTAAAAGTAAATACAACTACAAACTGTTACTGTAGTGACAGCCATGTGTCAGATAGACAATGTCCTAGCTCCCCCTAGTGGTACCCACTGCACCTCCATTCACTATTTTCTCTGATGATTGGAGCAATTCAAGTCTGTATAGCGACAAATCCCAACATGTATTATCCCAAGGCACAACATCCATCCATCTATTATCTATACAGCTGGGATTTGAACCTGGAACCTCCTTGCTGTGAGGCGGCAGTGCTAACATCACTGTTCCAATCTAAACGACTAGTGTCAAATCATGATTTCCTTTTTGACCTCAACAGAAGCCTCAAAGACAAAGAAGCTTTGTTGATAAAACCATTACACATCCTGTGTGAATACAAATCAATAATTAGCATAGAGGAGTGCATCCTCATCATGAGTGATCCTGTAGGGCCATTGAGTAGCCAGTGATGGGGGTTGCTGCTTGAAATCCTTCCACTAAATGTGAAGTAGATGTAATATACTGTAGCCTTTGTTGCACACAGACGCCTCCTGACTCACCACAGCAGCCTCCGTGTGATGGTGAGATAGTCGAGTGCTCGTCCAAACTCCTTAAGTGACTGTGTGGCATTTGACTGAACTCTCTGGTGAGGACAACGATCTCTTTGGTTTGGGCGGTGCCCGGTGGCTTGCGCCTGGGAAACGTGGAGGTGACATCATGGCGGGAGGAGCAGTGGCATTTGGCTAGACCGCGACAGCCGGAGCAAGGCGAGGGATTTCTGAGGGGAAAGAGATTTTATCATTTTGTGATTATTATTTATAAACCATTATTGTTACGATGATTGAATGTGGAAATCAATAATTAAAGAGAAGTAATTTAACCACTGCATCTTACAAGGAAATGGGGAGGCCTTGATTGACAGGGACACTTGACATTGCAGACACAGACTCACTCTGACCTTTTAGAACAAAAACATAATTCAATTACACCAGTGGAATATAAACTGATAAAAAAAACTTTGAAATAATGATGATTACCAGTGTTCGCCTGTATTTTCATCATCCACTTCTTCATCATGAAGCGTGAGGGGGCATTGAGCAGATATTCAGACCCGTCGCGGAGCCTGAAGGTCAGAGAGATGATGGGTCAAACATGAAGTTTGTCTCATGTAAAATATCTTCACAATCATTTCTAGTGGTTGTTACAGTCGTACTGTAGTCTGAAGCAGTTGGGTTTCTTGGTGTACTCTGGCGCAGGTGAACACTCAGCTCCCAGGAGGTTCAGCGGGAGGCCGCATGCAGAACTCTGCAACACAGACTGATCATCACTGACTTCATAACGTCCACTTTAATTATTCATCATTTCTCCCGGGCTCTCTCTCGCTCTCTCTCTGCTGATATATTTTTCTGCTTACCCTCAGTGTATCCTTTCTCTCCTGGTAGAAACACAAGGTGTGTCGATGTAAGACAGCGTGGTAGGAGCTCCAACCTCTGGAGGCCGCCTGTGAAAATAAGATAAGAGCGTGTGTGTGTGTGTGTGTGTTGCTGACTGTGGGCTTTAACATTTGCTGACCATGCTGCTGGGTTGGACACTTTCAGGAGCCTTTCTTACTTTCTTTCCTCCCAGCTGCAGCTTGTGCTTCCTCTCCAGCGTTCCCTCCATCGACTGCAGGTCGGGCTTTCCGCTCTATTTGGACCAAACACTGTAGTTAATCACACAGGTGAAATATTTCAGACACAAAGAGCCCCCCATGTTGCATCAAAGTCTCACCAGGGTGAAACAGCGCCCTCCTGTGGCCATCAGTTCTTCCTTCTTCTCCATGTCCTCTAGGCTTAGAGAGGATCTTTGCTGACAGGCTCTGTCTAAATCCATGTGAACCGACAGCAGACTCATTGACTGGTTCTGTTAAGACAGAGACGATTCTACAGTCATGACTCATGATGAAAATATTATTTAGTATACTTGATTTCTACACAGCAACATGACAATGGCTGCAGACCCCAACTACATGTTTACAGCTCATTTATTTACAATATATAGGCTATAACCATGCACAAATAATTATAGATATTCTTATTAATACTGGGCCTTTGTATCTGTGATTAATATTATATTTTAGTTTCACTAACCAGGAGTGGTATCTACATGTGGAGATATTTTTGGGTTGATTCATCATGACTTTGCAGTATCTGTCTATGCCATCAGAAATCTACAGTTGTCATGGAGACATCTTCATTGCTTTACTATTTCTCTCTTACCCAATGTGCATGTTATAAAAATAATTTTAATCAACTGCCACACAGACCAAAGACATTTTCCCACCTCTGAGAACAATAAAGTAACCAAGGCATTTTCATTGCTTTGAGAAAAGCTATAATAACAGTTTTTGTTACTGTAATTTTTGAAAAGGCTTAAAGCACTACCAGGTAAATTCTTCACTGAAGCAGAAGACTCCATTCTCAAAACCTGTACAGAGAAAACTAAATTCATCTGCAGGGCTCTGCACAAGTAAAGGCACATTTATGCTCAACCCACACGAAAACGGACGGAGACTTCTGTCCGTACTTTACGTTTATTTCATTCGTATTTGTACACCTCTTCTTAAAGCTTATGGATACAGACAAAACAGATGAAACGGAGCAGTACAATTAAAATTGGGGCCGGGCAGTGTATAGCTAATAATTCAAGCGAGATGACTGTAAGAGACGAGGAAGATAATTTAATAATGGAGGAACTTTTTGAGGAGAGACTTTAAGAGTTGGAAGTATTAGACTCTATATCTTCACCTGGGCACAGAGGTACATTTTCACAACTTCATCCACTGTGGCCATGTTTGTAACTCTCAACTCTACGCTGCCCTCTAGTAGATGTATTGGACACAGGGAAGTATGTGGGTAGTGATGGTTGCATTGTTTGAAACAAGAATATCATTTTTGTACGTATAGGAAGCATAAATGAGTGAAAATTATTATTTGTAATTTGGGTGAATTAAGAGATGGCTACAGGATGTAGACATCTCTGTATATCTAACCCTGACCTCACCTTCGAACCACCTATGTGCTCATCCGCCTCTTCCCTCACCTTTGCCTCCTCCACCTTCTCTTCCTCCTTCTCCTCCTCATCCTCTCTGTATTGATAAATGTATCTCTGATTGTCACCCACGTCTGGCAGCTTCATTGGATCGGACGCCGTCTCGTTCAGTGTCACTGACTTGGTCTTGCTGGCTGGTTCCCTGTTGGGAAATGCTGCCCAGGACCTCCTGTCTCCTGAAGCCAGTGGAGGGAGGCGGACTTTGGCCCTGTGCTCCTTGTCGTAGCCCAGCAGGCTCTGAATGTGGGACGGCAGCCTGAACTCGGCCACAAGGAGGTTGGGCGCAGAAGCAGTGACCAAGTTCCTGTAGAGCACATCCGGGGTTTTGGGTGAAGGCGAGCGAGAATGAGGAACATCAGGTTGGTCCGGGGGTACGCAGTCTTCCTGACTGGGCTGGTACATGATATCTGAGCAGATGCTCTGTCTGTAGTTAGTCGTCTGATTCCAGATGTCCTCCAGCTCCTCTTCCTCCTCCTCAAACTGCTGGTGGTCCAGGTGGACAGGCTCTGTTTGCTGCTCTGCAGATGGACCTAAGGGTATTGCATTGTTCTGTCTTGTTTTAGAGCAGTCTATTCCTCCCACCTGCAGGGACACGAGCCTCCCCACCACTACCTTAGGCTGCGGGACATCTGGACATGGTGCATCAGCGCAAACCTTGATGCTGCTGGGCGTGGAGATCCCAGATTCTACCGCGTCCTGATGAACGCTCACGCTCACTGTTGACTTTAGATTTACCACCATGTGAGAAGCTTGGCTCAGGCACTGGAGCCCCGGGCTCACGTCACGCACACTATGGGGTTTTGCACATTTGTGGTACTGGTGTCCATTAAGATCTCGAATGAGCGTGTGGACACTGAGGCACTCGTGTTTATGTGCAGCTGTACTTTGGGCCTGGTTCACATAAATAGGGAGATCAGAGGGTTGGCTGGTTCCATCCCTGTCCTGCTCCTGCTCTGCAGCCTTGTGCAGACAGAACTGGGTTTTGCATGGAATGGTTTGATCCTCATCTTCTCGCAGGGAAAGAGGAGGTGGTGGTTGGGAACTCTTGTCTGCATCAGACAGAACTTTCACAACAGGAGTCGGAGTCTGTGTTTCAGAAAAGCTGAGCTCCGATGAGCCGTGCGTGATGGCAGCAGGGGGACGAGTCTGTTTGAAGGAGCTCAGGGCTGAGTGTCTCTGAGAGTGGGGGTCCGGATCAGTCCCTGCTCCCTTTTTGGACTCAGGGGGTGCAATTGTAATGATGTCCTGAATGCTGGGGATGAGAGTCATGTCCTTGGGCAGGTCAAAGCTCAGCACAGATCCCAAAGAGAGGAATCTGCAGTGGCTCCTCACCTGACTTGTGGAGGATGGCGGGTTTGGCCCCTCTGATACAGCATATGGAATGATGCTGTATTCCCCTGAACACTCTGTATCAATGTCCTTCAACAGGGGATTCTTCATGTAGTCTATAGCTTCTATTCCATTCCCACCGGCCGGGCTCTTTGGGGAACTCTTCTTCCTCCTGCCTTCCTTCAGCGGCCATGTGTGTGTGTCGTATGTCATGGTATCGCACCCGTAATGAGCCACCTCCTCCGTTTGAGCCTCCACTCCCATAATTTTCTGGATGGTGTGTCTGCGAGCATCTCTCTTCCGCTTTCTCTTCTTGCCCATTCTCTTGAGGCTACTGAAGAGGAAGCCGCTGCCGCTCCCCGTCGAAGGGTGGAAGGTCACATTGGTCGTCTGAGGTGCGGACGCAGAGGAAGGCAGCGAGGAGGATAAGGATGGCAGGAAAGTTGGGGAGGCTGAGGCTGCGGAGCGGCTCTTTTGACGGGGAAGGGTGATACTCTCATACACAGGGGCCGCAGCCAAGTTGTTATCCTTGACATGCAAGTAGGTACTTACCTATAAAAAGAGAGAACAAAATATTAGACATGTTTGCTCTCATTTCCAGCAGTAATTGCATTATGGTCAATTTTTGACCCCAGAGAGCCTTGAGAACAAGAGGTGTTTAATGGGTTACAGACAAATGAAGAAAACGGACGAAGGCTTTATCAGAAACAAACCTCAGAATCTGTTTCTCTACACTTCACACATCCAAGAAAACAGCTTTATATAGCAATTCATATGTGTACAAATAACAGGAAAGACAAAAAAACAAAAGAATGCGGACATGATTGCAATCGCACACTTGCAGTACTTAAACAAAATCACATGTGGCTACACATGCCGTCATAGCCAGATGTAATAGCTTGACCTTTCAACTCTGTGACTAATCTCTTGTTTCTCTGGAAGCCCCAGACCATAAATCACTGTGTGCAGTCTGGGGGCCTTTCTTGAAAGTTCAGCACCAGTTTTCTGCATAACGGCCCCGCCTGTATTTGGCGCACTCCTACTGGGAGCCATTTTGGACCACACGTTTCCCAGGAAGCGAGGGTGAGGTCACGTATTAAACACAATGGTGGCACAGCCAGAGGGAGCCCAACAAGTCCAGGTTTACATCAGACTTGTGGTGAAATGACTCAAGGAGATGAGAGAGCTTCTGTCAACGTTAGCAGCAGGGAGACGACTGTGTGTGTGTGTGTGTGTGTGTGTGTGTGTGTTTGCGCACTGTCTTACTCTTCACCCTCATTCTGTCGTCGCTGCTTTCCAGCTTTAAATCCTGCCTCATTTAACAAAGTGACGTCCAAAGAAAAGTTTTAACGGTAGAGGAAAGTTGGACTGTAAACACACTGATTCACTGTCTGATTTTCTGTTGGGAATTCAACCGTTCATCTGAGTTTACACAAGACGAACTGAAAGAGCAAAATGACGACTGACAGACTCACATTCAGTCTAGGATGTCCAAAATATACACAGTTTAAGAGTCTCAAACATACTTTCGAATACTTCCAATGACTCAAAAACTTTAATACAGCTAAGAATATTTACAGTGTATGTACCAATAAAACTCCCTAGAATTTGATTCAATTTGTAATTTTATTTGCAATTCAGATACATTGTACATATACCGTTGTATGACTTGTGGTTGGCCTCACACTATATATTTGTATATTCATATCCATGATGAGTGCTTTACAAAGTTGAGGGAAGCAACTGTGGATGATTTTTCTTTGCCTGAGCCTGTTTAATCAATCTATCTATCTATCTATCTATCTATCTATCTATCTATCTATCTATCTATCTATCTGTGAATTCCAATCATCATGTTTATATTTGAACCAATGGACTGTAAAAGTAGCACCCCTCCTTAACCATCCCATTAAATATCACCACATAACATGCTTCATAAAAAATTTGGTTTTTAAATTGTGAGTTTTTACAGTAAAATGGTTTGTTGTCTTTTCATACTTTTCTAACTGTGTACTTTCCAGCCCTTGGAAGATTGTGATACCACTCTAGCATGACCTGTTTCCTTTTACTCTCATGAGGTGGGGCTGCTGCATAAGAGCAGTTGTACCCTGTAACACGGGTTAGTAAGAGCATGCTACCCCCAGAGAAAACACCTACACACAGCACAGCATGCATCCCCGGCACACTTTGAGACGCAGCATGCAAATCCAGTTCACACCGCGCAATTTACCTCATTTGCACTCTGCCGATAAATCTTTCTCTTTCGCTTTAAGCTACCCAAAGTATTTTCCAAAAGCCCCTGGCAGCGCCTCCAAAAGTTTTTACAGGAAGAGGAGTGAGGCACATTGGGCTGAGGGAGAAAATGGGGAAAAAGGAAGATATGAAGGCCAAAGAGGAGAGAGGGGATTGAGTGGCAGAGGGAAATCCCATGCATGTCATTACAGACAGTGAATGTCGCTGCATCGTTCTCCAGGAGCAGTAACATAGATCATCTGTTTCATCTGATTTTATGGGAGGAAATGTGTGTTGACGGTAAATCTGATATCCCACAATAATGTTTGGTGTTTCTCACCCTGTGCACAGGCTCAGACGTGTCCTCCACCACCTCCTCCGTCCCAGCAGGTGGCTCAAGCACCTGAACCTGGCTGTCCCCTGTGTTACCAAAGCTGAGGATGAGGTTGACCGTGCCCCCAAGAGTAGGGCTGCTGGGCTCTTTGAGGACCACAATAGAGGGTTTGGCAGACTCTGGGAGGGAGACCTCACCTCCCATTGGTCCAATACTGTTCATGACCTCATACCCATCCTCCAACTGCTTCTCCTCCTGTTGCTCAGTTTGTCTGGGTGGGAGAGACGAGGGTCGGCTGTCTCCTGATACGCTTGACTTGTCTCCTTCTGAGATAATGAGCAGGGACTGATGGGACTCGTAGGCGTGTAGCTCAGGAGCTGAAATCTGTTTGGGAAGCTATGGAGATAAAGAGTAAACACATCATGTTGGTAAATTATTAAAAAATCTGTCTTTGCTAAAGCAGGAAACATATGTTGTGGCCCTGCCTCGCATTGTTTCCTCCACTCCTCAGCCACAGTCAATCCAGGGGTAGATCCAGAAGTGCCCCTCTCCTGTCACTAACTAATTACTTACTAACAATACAAACAATAAATACTGTAATTTGTAAAGAATATTTATTTTCAAAGCGTTTTTGAAGAACACAATGAGCAACACAATGAACAATTTTCAAAATATATTCAATGATGTGCGGCTGTGAATCAAAGCTATCAAGTTAACAGTAAACAAGGAATGATGTCAACGTTCATCTCACTGAATCAGAGTTGTGGATGGATGTTGGACGTTTAATTGCCCGTCTGTGTAAGGCCCCTTATGGCCCCTGATTTAGAGAATACAACCCAGGCATCGAACCCCCGACCTTCTGGTTATTGGACAATCTGCTGTACCTCCTCCACCTACTTTTTAAAGGGAATCATTCCTTTGCCAAGTATTCAGGACAGTCCCTTCGATAAAAGCCTCCCTGCTCATTTACCTCTGATAATGTAGAGCACATTGTAGCCTCAGAATAAATGTTGTCTTGTGAAAGCTCCTGTCTGCTCCTCTTGTGAAGCCACTGCTGTTTCTGAGCCCTCCAATGCACCAAGATCCACCCGAGCATACTCCTCAGTTCCTCCAGCCGCTCCCTCACCTGCAGGACAGAACTCAGTGTTTGTGACAGTAGCTAAATTACAACAACAACATATATAAGGATGTGAGAGTTAGTGTGCAGCCCTGCTCACCATCTGTGTGAGGTGGTGTTCTTTGTCTAAAAGGTTCCTCCCTGCAACCGCCAGCTCATCAAACTCCTCAAACTTCAGCTCAATCTGCATGTCCAGCTCTGCAGCCAGTGGCCTCTGCCCATCCTTCCCAGGATGCAAGGCGGTGTCTGAGAAAATGCACGACCTAGTGTCTTCCGTCCATGAGCTATCAAAGAGGAGCGGGGGTGGGGGTAGGAGACGAGGAACAGGGCTGTGAGAAAAGCCACACATTCACAAAACATGAGAATGACCAGACTCCCTAACAGGACAGATATTCATCGCCTTGTCACACTCAGCCCAGGAAACTAGCACTGACCTCCTCAGCACATCTTAAATTATACATTTCACCAGGGGACCAAGCGTTTGACAAGGAGAACATCCTGTTCTTCCCTTGAAAAGATATTGTAATGGATTACGAAAGACGGTCTGACCCGGAGAGGGGGGGTCACAGGATCCCCACGCCCTACTTACATCATTGCGAGGTAGCTCCTGAAGAAGTCCTGGAGCTGCACAAACTCCTGCAGCCGTGATTTGTTCTCCGCAACGCTCCTTCCCAGCTCGGCCCAGGCCTGCAGCGTGGCCTGGATCTTTGCCCCGAGTACGTGCACTCTCTCTGGACACAGCTCCTCCAACCGCGAAGCCAGGTTCTCCATCTCCTTCACCTCCTCCCTCATGACTTCATAGTCAATCTGTGGAAAATCAAAGTGAAGATCTATCATCTCCCATCAAACCTGGTATCACTCAGACAGCCTGTACCAATTGTATCTCTGCATGGCTATGACCTCATCCCCATAGCGTTATGCATATTATTCAGCATATGGTCTACATGTGGGCTGCCACGCTGTAGCAAGCTTGCAATCTTTTTCCACTTTTTTCTCGCTTTTGACGAGGCGGTAATTAATAGCACAGAGGTTCTCTGGGAGTAATACTTCATAACATTTCTCAGATACAGTAAGCCTCCAGAACACTGAGCTGTGAATGCCTGTCTGCTGACGGCACAGTTATTTCAGTGGAGGGAGATTAGGTCATTTCTGCTCTTCAAAAGTATCAAGTCCAGACAGCTGCATGTAGTGTGTGTGTGTGTGTGTGTGTGTGTGTGTGTGTGTGTGTGTGTGTGTGTGTGTGTGATAATCATAACACTGCCCAAAAAATGACTCACACACAACTTTACCATCCCCAACCTCACATCTCCAACCTTGTGACCCCTGGGCGAACAACCCCCCAACACATTTACCGACAAACACACACACACATAGACTTTTGTTGAGTAGTGACTCACACAAGCATAAATAAATATCCTGTGTGAATAATAAACTTTTGCACGCTCGATGTGTGTTTGTGTGTGTGTGTGATTGCATGGTGCAGTTTATATAACAAATTAAACACAGCACAAAGCGGGGTGGGCTGGCTTTTTTTTGGGATGTGAAAAAATCTGGCACAACAGGAAACAGACTGTGGAACAATGTGTCGGGGAGCGAGTGCGAGAAAGAGAAGGGGGAGCTTCCCCTTTTTCATTATCCAGAGTCAGTTGAATGGAATATTGGATCGTATCAGCACCAGTGAATCATTTTCAATGTTTACACCATAATTACGATGATGTGCCAGCGTCTCCCACTCACCTCCAGGTGGTCCTGCCTCTCCTGCAGAGCCTCCAGGCCGCAGCGCTCTGGCTCACACTGGATGGCCAAGTCCGTCTCCCTCTCCAGGATGTCCAGGCCGAGCTCCTTGCTGCAGCAGAGGCACTCCTCCACGTGCACCACCAGCCCGGCGTGCTGGGCGAGACACAAAGTCATCATGAGCGCTCACAGGACGCCGTTAAATCATTATACTTCACTGCGTGTTATTTGTTTTCCAATAAGAGCCACATCGCTAATGAGTGTTTAAAACTTTGTCATGAAGTCTCCTCTGGGCGTGTGGGTAAGTTCTGTTTTGACACGTGTGCTGCTTTATTAGATTTTATTTAATAAATCAAATTAACATAAAAATGCTCATGTGGATGGGAGTGGTGGCTCGTTTGGGGCCGATTAAAACACATGGCTACAGAACAAAGGAAACCAGATTCGGGATACACTGGTTTGTCCAGCTGTTTGTAACAAAACTTGAGGGATTTAGGACAATACAGTCATCTAAGATCATTGCAACTTGACTAACACTACAGTAAACCATGGGTAATATAGACTACAGCTGCCATATGAACATGTTATCTTGAGTGATTCCCATCTCCTTACCTTGCTCAGCAGGTCCTGGATAGCTTGGTCATGGCTCTGCGATCGCCCTCTTTCCCTCACAGTGTCATTCAGCATCTCCACAGCCTCACGCAGTTCCTCCACAGGGTCCCCCATGGTTTCTATCAGGGGCTCACCACCACCTCCACTACCACCACTGCTCTGGAGTCCCAGCAATGAGGGAGCATGAGAGATCTCACTGTGGAGTGGCTGGTTGATAGAGAGAGGGAGAGAGCTGTTTATTTGAGTTGACAGACTGTTAATCTTAATGATAGAAATTATACTTTTTTACCTTTGTGTTTTCTTGTCAAGCAAACATTTGTTAGCTCCATTCCCCCCTGTATGTTTGTGTATTGGTTGGGTTGTATGTTGATTTGTAAGCAAAATGTTCATGTTCCATGACACTTGGTGGAAGGATACAGTGTGGGTTGGAAAGAACTCATTACATATTGGGGCAGATCTGGATGAGGGGGTGTCGCTAGGATTTTCTTTTCCTCTTTCTTTAACAGATTGATTTTTCAAGAAATATAAAGTTTTTCAATATTTTCACCATTTTCCCTAAAATTAATTCATAGATCTGCATGAAAATTACACATTTGGGGAATTGATATCTATGAGTGTATTAAATTTGGTTCAGCTAGATTGAATTTAAGGAGAATTTTGAGGTAAGCACTCTTCTACTTAGTGCTGTTCAAGTCTATATTTGTCCCATAGACTTCTGATGTTGCCTCAGGACAATGAAAGTGAAGAATACCCACACAGACACATGAAGAACATGCAATGACCTTGGCTGAACCAGAGTTCGAACCAGCAACGCTCTTGTTGTGAGGCGACAGGGCTAAATTAACCCTTTCATTTGTTTTGACCCAATTAGGAGGCTACTACTTCTGTTAAGTAATGTCTTACCTGGCCCAGGCTGTACCGGCAACCGTCCTGGCTCTCCTCCAGCTCCACGCGCTCCAGGAACTCCGTCAGCATTCGTGTGTCCTGCAGCTCTGAGCTCTGCTGGGTCAGGGCGCTCTGGACACGATGGTACCTGGAACACACACACACACACAGACCCACGGGAATGTTTTCATGATCAGCTACACCTTAACGGTAATCCACATCCTCATATACAACCCTACATCCTTCAGCAGAACCACATTACATAGACCGCAGGCAGTAACTGGCCATGCCAGAGCTGTTTATGTAATCATATATCATGTGTCACATAAACATATCCTGCACTTTGGGGCGTGAAGGTACTTTGTCCGTGCAGAGTTTACACTTTAAATGGTAAAGGAGCAATTTGAAAGGCTATTTTTCTTACAATAAATGAGCCATAAGTTGCTTGTATTTCACGTTAAATAATGACATCATCCTAAGTGTCTTACAGCTGCTTAGCAAGAGCCTCCACCTGCATCAACGGCCCCTCAGACTGCACATCCCTGCCCTACATAACACCTCCGCCCTGGAAACACTCAAACTGAACCCTTTCCGTCTCTTTATTTTCCTTGGTCAGCTTGGTGTTCTTTACAGAGTCTGAACTTATGTTTATAGACGTTGGTGCTTCCAGTAAATAAAGTACAACATCACACGGTTTAACTGAGAGTCCATGGCAACAAGCTTGTCTTCTGAGAGGCGTCATTTTGCTAACAGTGAACGGGTGACTCTGAAACACACTGACAAGCTGTGGGTGAAGTGCATGTCAGGACGGTGGGGTAGACCTCACTAAGTGCTGCATGAATCACAAATGAATAAACTTGGGTCTTGCAGTGAATGAGCGCATGGAGAATATTTTTGCCAGGTTGGAGAGAAAAAGCAGCTCATGAGATCTATGGATATATATTTCTGAGGTTTATGGGGTGAAATTGTTTGTCTTCAATAAAAGCAGAGGGTTTTTTATGGATAAACTCTTCCATGTTGGATCACAGACGTGCCAAGCCCAAACCTGTGACCTCTTGGAAACACTGACAAAATTCTTACTTCATTTCCTGACCACAGTGACGAGCAAAAACCCCAAAGTCTCATCCACAACATGAGCCTTCCATGATGAGAGACATCAGGGGGGCTACCCAGGACATTAACCTTCCTGCCTCCCAAAAACTCACTTTCTTTCCACCTCATCCATGCGCGCTGGCAGCCACTGTGTGAGCGGGTGACTGTGGCCGTGAAGGAGGTCCACCTCTTGCCTCAGAGCGCCGAGCTCCAGGCTGCGCGCTGCCACCTCTTTCTCCAGCAAACAGCTCTCCCTCTCAGCCACGCTCATTGTTTCAGGGTCACCGGCAAGTGCAGATTCCTTCATGGAGAGTTCGACGGACTCCAGCCAGGCCTCCAGGCTGCCCAGGGCCTGCAGCACTTTCACAACCTGTACAGTGAGGACGCAAAGAGGATAGTCATGTACAACGGATGCACTCTAAGTACACGCAAGTACAGATACTTGAGTTAAAAACGACTCAAGCAAAAGTAGTACTACTAATTCAACCTCTTTACTCAATTAAAAGAATACAGCAAAGGCTCTGAAATGTACTCAAAGTAAAAACTTCCCCACATGTCTAACGCAAACARAGACTTAATATAGTTCAAAGAATATCACTTAACTTAAACCACTCTCACTTCAAATAAAAAAAAATACATTTGCTAAAAGCAGGGTTAGATGCAAGACAGGTTTTGTGAGAATGAAAACTTGTCCAGGAGGAAATGCATCCTCATGGCCTGGAGATGATTCACTCTCTACAGTAAACACTTCCTCCTCTATATGCCGTAGTTTCTCCACAGTGTATTAAGGCTCATTTAATACACGTTGAATATAGTTTTCTCCCACATCTATCAAATGATTGTGTTGTAATTGTTCGAACTGGCTGCGGAATGCGGAAAGAAATGTAGAAGTGCATGTTGTAGTTCTAGCACACAGCCAGGGAGCTGGCAAAACTTTGCCAGTGATATAAGAACCATCATCTGCCGGACTTTTGGCAACAAAAGATTTGTCTAGGCAACTCAGTGAGAAATTAAGATTTACTCATTTTCACTCTCTCTCTCTTTTGTCTGCTTCGTCTTGATAAATATTTTATGCCATGTTGTTGTGCATGTTATGCACTGATAGATATGGAACAAGAAATCCTCTTTTCTGTGTTATTGTCCCATCTGTTTAGGTTAAAATCTTTCTTGATATTGGGCAGATGCAGTCAATGATGCAAAATAAAAAACACTTCCCGTAAATGCAATCAAACAAATAAAGAGTACAGATATTTTTGTCATAATGTAGTGATCACATGAAAAATGACTTCAGTACAGTAACAAAGGCAGGTTTATCTAATGGAAGTCGACATTATACTCTGACCTGCATCTTTTGTAATAAAAGACTCATGTTTTCCAACTAAGTCATCCATCTGGGTGGATTTACAGCCTCTTTCCATCTCCTAATACACTCTTAATTACATGGAAGCACAATTTATATGCCTTGCAATAGCTCTCATTAATTGTTGGGGATATACAGTGTACCTCACAGTCTCCCAGTTAACCCCAAATGCTATTCAGCCAATTAAGGTGGAAAGATGAAGGTAAATGTGCTTCTAACAATGAGAGTATGCATGCAGTCCAGGCTCCGGTCCAGCATTAAAACATTTAACAATGAGAGAGCTGATCCAGAATCATCCATCATAACCATAAAGTTCCCCTGCAACTTCAAAAGGTAAGCAGTCGCCTCAGTAAGATTAAAGATGAGTGCTTCTAGTGAAACTGTTTTATGAATCTTACCCTAAAACCCAGCTCCTCTGAGGCCTGCAGAAACACAGCGTTCCTCTGGTGCCTCCTCCGCAGTTCTTCCCATAGGACTTCCAGCTGGCCGAGGAACTCCTCGATCCTGGCGCTGCCGGGGTGCTGAGCTCGGACCAGCCCGCGGCCCTCCTGAGGAAGAGGCGTTAAACTGATGAGAGCGTGTGATGGCTTAGGACTGGGGATTTATGTTGCAATATACGGCGCTAATCTGCAGCTTTGGGTAACTGAAGCTGTCTCGGATGAAATATCAGCTCGTTACGTAATTATTACACAAACCAGACCTGTCAACGTGCCCAGTTTGCAAAATAAGGGGAATATTTTTATTCAAGGCATTCATCCAAGGTCATGAGAAAATGAATGTAATGTACTGCCTCTAGTTACGCTTCTTTTATGGAACTTTTTTGCAAAGCAGACCACAAACAATATACACAATTGTTAATACATCTGCAAAGGAAACAAATAGGCAAAAATATTCACATAGATACACATACTCATCTACCCATACCAATTCCTGCACATTAACAATCAGGTAAATGCGAGTAAACCCATTGAAAAGGTGATTATCTCCATTCCCATTGCCAGAAGAGGAGTTTGCCTTTCTAAGTCTCTCTCTCTCTCTCTCTCTCTCTCGATTGCATCCATTACCAGACAAAAGCCAGATGTTGGTGTTTGTGGGTTTTCTGACCAGTGGAAAATGGGCTTTTGTGGCCTCTAGGTGTTCAAAGTAAAATACAAAGGACTTATCTTTTTAAAGAACCTTCAAAAAGGGAT